ATTTCCTACACTCCGTTGTCGTGCACTCGGGCAGACACCGTAGCGGCCGCTACATTGCATACATCAACCCACTTGGAGACAATGAGTGGTACTGTTTCAATGACGCCTCAGTGTCTAAATGTTCATCAAATGACGCTATTAACATGGTGAGTTGCAAAACGATTATTCTTCATTCCTCTCAGAGACATTTCTCTGCCCACCGTCTAGGTTCATAAAACATGGCAGCCCATACGTATATTCTGCCAAACATACTAAGTAATTTATGTAAAACTTTCTATTGATTTTTACTGCCCTTTTAGATTAAAATATAATTTTTAGGAAAATGCACATATAATATTTTTTGCTTATCCTCCTTTTGCAGCAAATTGTATACTTGAAGAAACTGTATCTTTGGGCCTTAACGCAGTTCCTACCTATGAGAGGAATGTGAGATTTACATTCATAATTCACCGTATTTGCCAAATTATTAATATTTTTACAAAGCATATAGCAGAATCGATATGCATTGGAGAATCGTATGAGCACCTTTTGTAGCCTAATATGAACATTTCTTCAGATAGAATGTACGCGGCATTCAAATTGGAGACCATGAGTTCGAGTGTAAATGTCGACAGAGTTCAAAATTATGCGGCATTTTAGGAAATTTTTAACACCGAAAAATACCCTTGCTTCAAGTATCAAATTAATGAAGGTGCATTTTACTTCGAAATGAGTACAAGAAGAAGTCGCTTTTTGCATATGTTATACAAATTATATTTGAGTGTGTAAGGTAAATCAATTTAAAAAAATACCCATAGCTTAAGTGGGAAATAAGAGAGAAGCACTACATCTTGTCGTGACTTAAATATCTTGAGGTTGTGTAATCACTTTTACAGCCCTACTTAAGAAATCTCTTTTGGCAGTTTTTTCCTCCTAAAAAATCCCAAGGAGTTTTTTTCACTGTTTGCTCCGTCTGTCTGTCTGTTCCACATGATGATTCATGTCAATTGTCCTCACCAACAAACTGAGATTCTGAAACCACGGAAATCATGTAAAAATAGGGGACTCAAAGGCTGTCCACTTACATCACCTTCAAATATACTGATACTGAATCGCAAACAAATGTCAGCATTTTGGTTGACGTTTCTTTAGATAGACAACCTGCTGTTGTTGCTGGATACCTACCGAGATTTTCAGCTGCCGTTATCTTGTCTACTTTATCCGTTTTCTCATCTCCCTCTAAATACAGAATTATGGGATTTCGGACGAACCAGACGAGTCAGATTGTCAGCCCCAGTCAACTGCCTACATACTGGTTTATATTGCAAAGAATGCCAAGGAGGAGGTATTACGTCCAGTCACCGAGGAGGACATAACAGCGTCGCTGCGTAAACGCTTTCAAGAGGAACAGCAGAGTGTGGACGAAAACGATTAGAAGCAGTACAGTCTGTCTCCTTCTCCTGTAGAGGCCCCAGCGGTCAGATTAGAACATCGGATGCTGATTTCTAAAATTATTTACCTTTTTTAAATTTCGTATATGATTCTGCTTTGTATATTTTCTCCCGTCCCTGGTAGCACCCAGATCAATGCACTCACCGTTGATAATTGTCTGGCCAATCCCCTTCCTACCTCTCCAGACAACTTTATTTTGCCTAGCTGTCACATTACTTGACTCGATTACTCACACATTGGAAAGAAAAGAAATACCCACGATTACTGAGCTTTCCGGTGTAAACTTCGTTCGGACGTCATTGGGACGAGAAAATCCTGCTTTGTAAACTCCAGTGTATGCACAAGCGTACTACTTTGCTTACTTCATTCATATTCTCTACTCAGTGCCTGGCAGTAGCAGAGCTTCGCGTACTTAAAATCGGCCGAGCCGTTTCTTTATATGCTTCACACAGTCTGTCCAGTTTAAAGTAATTTTGAACAAACGATAACTTTACTAGAGGAGAGTAGATGTTGGAAGATTCGAATAGTTCAAGCGATCCAATTGTGAAAAACTCGATGGGATTCGTAGCCACGATGGCAAGGGGAAGGCTTCAGTGCAACCAACACTCTAACCACCTGAGCTACGACATTACTGTTCGATCATTTAACTTTGCTATCCAACCGCCGTTACCGAAGGTATTTCTTGCGAGTCCCACGAAGTGATTGGTACAGTGACGGAGACCTTGACTTGAATACCATTGCAGTGATTGAAGACTTGCACCGCACCTATCGCGCTCTCTGCTCCTTCTCCTCAGCCACCTGGGCCGAGTAAATCAGGTGCAGGTTGCTGGCCCTGCGTGATTCCGCGCCTAGGCATGCAGCCAAACCCTCCGTTCTACGCGCAAATAACCAGGATTTCATACATCAAGAAGGGCCTGGCAGCTTGGATGCTAACTGA